ATTAATGACGCTGATGAAAAACTAGACTCTAATAATTTATTTTCAAAATTCGTTCTTATATGTTTCTGAAATTCAAAGTCTTTTCAGTCTTGCCTTCACATTTTTATTACTTGCTACTACGCTTTTTTTGTTCATACAAATTGGACAAACTTTGGGTAATTGTACCTCTAATTTCTTTATTACACCTTTAATTGCTCGTTCTAAAAACATTGGCTGTTAATTTACAGCTGTTATTTTACAGCCCAACAGAGGGGGTGCGAAAGAGAGAGATGGGTTGGGTTGGAAAGAGAGAGAAAGAGTCACTTAGTCAGGGCGATTGCTTGGCTTGTTTTTGTGATGTTTCCTTTGTTTTGTTTTGATTCGCTTTACCTCCGACTGTTTGTCTATGTTTTCTTTTCTCTCTATTTCCTTGGCTTCCCCTTCTACCCGCTTTTCACTCGGGTTTTCTGCTCGGTTCCCGAAACATGGAGAAAGACCCTTTGTAAATTTTAATGGCAAATCTGCTGCCATTTGCGGCACATTTCGCGTACAATTTTCATTTTTGTTATGCCCACATATTTATTTTCATGGCTTGTTCTAGGTGGATGGGTGTTTTTTTTGGGTGGGGACGGGTAGGCCCTGCGCCTGATATTCAACCACACCCGGAAAAATATATGATCTATTTGACTTAAAAAAAGTGAAATCTTAAAGTATTTTAAAAACCATTTACACAATTGATATCACTTACGGTTATTGCCTTGAAGTATGCTATAATTTATGTTTCTTTTTCTGAAAAATTTGAATGCGTCATAACAGCATACATATTTTGGGCCACAATAATAAGATATTAATTTTTTTTTTTGAACATTTGAAAAAAGACATTTATGGTGAAATCGTTTTAACAATTATCTTTTCATGCTGGTTTCCTTTTATATTTTCCCTCAGTGTATACTACATTGCTAAAGGGGCGCACTTTACATTTGTTTTGTTTATTTTGGCGTGAGCGTTGCCAGCGACGAGAGCATGGAAGACATGGCCACTGCGAGTGAGGGAGAGAGCTCGAGTGAGCGTGCTGATGTGTGTGTGTGAGCCAGCGAGTGAGTGTGAGTGAGTGGGGAGCCGGCAAGAGAGTGGGAGAATGTCGATGGCTGCTCTCCTTATTGTTGGTGCTTTTGCTGCCGCTGTTGCTGGCATGCCATTTCCCGTTATCAGTGGCAGACTTTCTGCCAACCTGCTGTCGCACGCCGTTGGCGTCGACGTCGCTGCGACTGGCTCTGCCGCCGCTCAACGGTGACGCCACAAACGCCATACAGTGGGTGGGAATTTCAGGTTACTTAGATAAGCTTTTGGATAAATACAGAATGAGTTTCTAAAGAAGAAATGGTTTTCTAAAAATGATTATAAATGATTTATAGCATATAATTATCGTAATATGTAAGATAAGGATCAGTCACAAACAATACTTTTGAATTGAGAAGAATAACGAAAGACAAACTCCCCTAGTTTTTTTTCTATAAATTTTAAACTATCAGAGAGTGCAGTTTATCCCACAGTACCTCATTCTGTGTCCCTCATTTTGGATTTTGTGCGCACGCCATGCCAGCTAATTTTGGATTTTCTAAGCGAGCCGAGTGAAATATTTTTAGCTTTTCAACTGCGCTGCAACTGCGAAGTCGACGCAGGCAGCGACGGCAACATGCAGATTTTTGCAATTGTTTGCCTTATTTGGCCGCTGACGTGATTTTGTTGTTGTTGTGGTTGCTGTATTTTTAGCCAGTTGATTTATCATTCTCAATGCGTTTACGCTGCATTTGTGGCTAATCAGTATTTTGTCTCCTTTCTTCTCATTGCAGGTGAGTTACCCCCTTCAATTGCCCCATCGTCACATTGTAGTTTCGTGTAAATATGCATGAAGTGCAGATAAATCCGTAAGTTAAGCTAAGTGTGTGAGTATTAAGGAATCGCCATTACTGGAATGTTTGCATCACCGCTGAGTTATTTTGATAAGCTGAAGTCAAGATCACGGGTTACGTATACGCAGCGTAGGACAGCTTACCGAGTGAGTGTGTATAACAGTTCCCTGATTGGATTCTCGGAAATGGTGGTGTATCATATCATAAAACAGAAAAGTTTTTCAAAAATTAAGATCTATAAGAATACATTTTATTGAATACATTTTATATACGCATTGTTTTAAGTCAAGAATTTTCTTAAGGTATTTCAAATAATTTATTTGTTGCTTTGCAATATACTTTTCTCTGCATGAAACAATAATTGTGTCATTTGCGTTAACAAATCAATGTGCGTGTTTGAGTGAGTGAGATATTAAAGGCCAAGTCAAGCCTTCATACTTCGACTCTCCTGCGCCACCCAACCACTTCCCCCTTTTCCACTCCAAAGCAATTCCACTTCTTGTTCATGTTATTCCGATTTTCCTATGCAACTGTAGTTGTATTTTCTCAGCTTTTCATCCATTTCCCGCCCGCTTTCCCCGTTGCCCGGCTTTGAAGTGTTTACATTTTGCGTTTGAATTATCGCTGCTTTATATGCTTCGCTTTGATTTTCTATTCACTTGTTGTTATTGCCCTGTCTGCTTTACTTATTTTAAGCTAATTTTAGTATTTAGCTTTCGTTTGCATTTCAATTCAATTTGGAAAACGACGGGGAAATCGCTTTGGGCTTGGGAAAGACCGAGGACTGTACTTTTTATTTTTAATTTCCAATTCGATTTAATTGTTGTTCTTACCGTCGCCACTGCTGTTCTTGTTGTTATTTTTGTTTCGCCTGCTCTGATTTGATTTGCTTGAGTGTGTGTGTGCTTGGCGCCGTTTGGCTTGGTGGCAAAGCGTTCTGAAAGATAAAATTTCTAAGGAAAATATGAAGGAATTTTTTCATCTCATAACATATAAAATGTTTTTTTTTTCTCCCATAATTGAAGCTGTTAGAAATCATTGGAAAGATTAACAATATTCCCCAAGATGAATAAATGCAAAGCCAGACTATAAATCTTTTTAGATTAATGTGATATTTCCAATAATTATCTGTGAAATATATGTCTGCCCCTTTTCGAAGAACTTATTATCTGAAAAATATATATTGTTAAAATGTAAACTAAAAATTAGTTACCTCGAATATTTTATTTGTTTAATTTAGAAGGATTCCCCTTTTTAGGGTCCACTTTATCCGAAATCCCTCTGTTAGCTCGGCTTATCTGGTATTTAACCGCTCAGAAAGATCCCTCCTTTTTCTCACTCTCTCGTTGGCTCTCTCTTTCTCCCACTTCACGCAGTTCGCCTTCGGAGAAGCCGAGTTTTGTTTACCGACTTGGCTGTCGCTGTTGTTGTAGTTGTTGTTGCTGTCGCAATTGAAGCGCAGTTTCTGGCAGCAACAACATGAGCTAAACCTATAGATATACCTTATACCCGTAGCTACAACATCGAGGCATGCGAAATCCCTTGAAGCGTTTCAAGCGTATTTTTTTCCCCATTTTGCTGCGCTTCGGTTTGTTTGATTTGGCTTGCTCACCTTCGGCTCGACAACAACAAAATCGAACGGACGTCGACGGCGACGCAGGCCGAGGCAGCGCCGCCGGCAGAGACGACGGACTCAACCTGAAACTCAACCTGAAACTCAAAACGAACCCGAGGCTCGTGCTGTTTCATTTGAATGGGCACACGACGGAGTTCGAGTTGGATTGGCCACAGTGTGCCGGCCAAATTGGAAGCCTTTGGTTCCACTTTGCGAAAACTTTGAAATTTGCTTAGCAAAATTGGCAGCTTGAGGGCCATTTCCACATATTTCGGCACACTTAGGAGTGCAGGCGAAAAACCTATGGGACCAAGGAACTGTTTTGCCAGCAAATTATAGGCCTTTAATATCGATTTGCCAATATATGAACATATGTTTAAGTAACCAAAAAAAAGAAAAACATTTATACACTGATTCATCTTGGTAAGGATAAGATTTTGTACATTTTTCTTCCTAAAATTATGTCATATTATATTTGTTGGGTATTCACACTTTAATTTTTTTTTTAAGTGCATAATCCATTTTTGCACAAAAGACTAACCACTAAATCTAACAAAGCAACGGCAAAATGGATTTACCTAAAGCAGCCTAAGAACTTCAACATTTTCCAAAACGTATTCTTTAAGGACAGGTTTCTTCATTTAGGAAAATGTTCGATTAATTGATTAACTGACAAAATAAAGTAGGAGTAGAAGTAAAATATAAACTAAGCTTAGACCCAACTCGACTTAATTGCAAAAAATATAATTTATGTAGTCTTTGGAAAAAGCAATATTTAGCAGTTTGGGGCAGGGCACTTGGAGCTGTAGTCATTTATCACAGGATTCTTTTGCAAATACCTTGGCTCCCAGGACCCCATTCTAATCTTCTCTCCCTTTTTTGTGTCTCCCCATCTCTGTTTCTCCAACGCCTACGCCAAGGCCATAAATATCGTATTAAATATTTGCCTTAGAATCGCCTGCGATGTCGGCGTTTCGCGTTTGCATTAACGCAAAATGTTGTCTGTTTATCTCGCTAGTTATTGTTCGCTGTCCATAGGTGGTGTTTCGCTATTTTTCGAGGGGTGTCGAGGGGGTGGCTGGGGTGTCAGGGGTGCCAGGGGGAGGGTTTCGCCGCTGGTTCGGTGGTTGCAAACTTTTGTGGCATTGCCAGTTGATTGGATTGCCATGAGATGAACTTGGCGTCGCATGTGAGTGTGCGAGTGAGTGTGGCAAGTGATTTATGGGTCCCCCGTGCTGATATGGGATACGCTTTATGCGATAGATATACAATAGATACAATGTCATTAGCGTCCTACTCGCTACAGTGTTCGATTTCGAGTTGAAAACGCCATTCTTTCATTTTCAAGTTTAAATTTTTTAAATTATTATAGAAGAATAAAACTTTTAATAGGAAGAACCGTTTTTATATAATCATAATTATAAAATGGTTTTTTTTTTTTTTTATCTCTTTATGAATCCATTATATAAGAAGGCATCTCATAATATTTAGACCTTGACTTTGTAGAAAAACAGGAACTGGCGACAATTGTGTTTCGAACATCGACAAATCAAACGAAATTTTTAGCAGTAGATAACTTCTCTCGATCCACATTCAATTTGAGATTTTGGCAGAGGAACGCAAGAGGTGGAAAGATGATCCAGCAGAGGGAGCAGATCTTCTCCTGCGGCTTCGAGGTTTTCGGAAGAGTGCAGGGCGTCTGTCTGCGCAAACAGACCAGGGACTTGGCCACGCTGAACCAGGTGCGCGGATGGGTGATGAACACCGACGATGGGACGGTCAAGGGTCAGCTGGAGGGCACTCTGCCCAAGGTCAACGAGCTGAAGTTCTGGCTCTTGAATTTCGGCAGCCCGCGGGCGATTATCGACCGGGCGGAGTTCACGCCCACCAAGGAGATCGCCTCGCACAACTTCAGTGGCTTCTCGATTCGCTACCACCACGTTCCCGCCCCGAAAAAGACGGTCCAAACTGGGACATGTGTCTAGTGCAAAATTGTAACCGTGCTGTTTGCTGTAACTGTTTGTTTGGACCTTTAAATTGAGCTGCGAATACAAGTAGAGTCGGCGACTGGCTTCTGCGAACATCATTTATAAACCTCAAAAGTGAAAAACAGGCTGCCAGCCACTAATTAAGCCGCACAAAGAAATGCTCAACGCAATTACATAGGGGCTGGCACATCCACTATGTATTTATATCTATATATATACATCTGTATCTACGAAACTATATATATATATAAGAGTATGTGAGATGACTTGGTTAGACAGACACCTGCAGCTTCAGCTTTAGCTTTAGCTTCAGTTTCAGCTTCAGTTTCAGCTTCGGCTTGGCCACATTTCCAGTTGAGCGACGCCCCAAACTGGCAATGAGTTTTTACGACACACAAACAGCAGCCAACAGCCAACAGCCGTGAGTCGGAGCAACAGACAACAGACAATACTGGGTATACGGAACATATAGAATAACTAACAACGGAGGGCAACAAATATTTATCGCCACACACTAACGAGAGTTGAGATTGTGAATAATGGTGAAGGTGGAGGGCCGGATAAAATCGTGCCAATTGGCTTAAGTGAGGTAGAGTTTCAAATTGAGTTCCGAAAAATGAGTTTTTAAAGAGATTGTCGATCAAATTTATGTCTAACTGAGGCTAAACGCTGGAGAACTACGCCAGCTACAATTATAGTGTTTGTAAATTAGTCTTAGTTGGCAGCAATTAAATGTAAATCGTTGGTGGGTAAAATTTATGGGAACGGTGGTAACGTAATCTAATAGTAAATGCTGTTTAAAATAAAATTGTTGATAGGTGAAATTGGTAAAAAAAGAGTAATACAGCTTAATGTTTGCTTAGCTGATATGCATTGAAATTAATATTTGAGCTTAGAGTAGTTATTTTAGGATCTAAGTATATTGTTATTATGTTTTTGTTGTTAGCATTATTAGCATAATTACCCACCAAACAGACGTAATCTTTTGTGGCAAACAATAATTGCTAAAAATCAGAATAAGGCAGAAATCGGGGTGCCACATGCCCGCCGCCTTATCACATTTTCGAGTTGTCCAAGTGTATCGCAACTTGGATGGGGAATTCAGTGGCTCGACGCCTGGCTGTTGTTGCTGTAGTTGCTGCGGTGTTGTTGCTGTTGCCGTTGCCGTTGTGCTCCCAAATGCCCTCCATGGGTCGCTGACTACCACGACGCCTCTGCCGGCGCTGGCGTCGCAGCCAGCTTCTCTGCCGCCGAAGCACTGCGCATAATCACAACGAAATCAAACAAATGAACGACACAGCACACAGCAGCGGCAACACCAACAGCGGCAGCAGCAGCAGCAGCAACAGCAACAGCGACAGCAGCAGCAGCAACAGCAACAGCGACAGCAGCAACATCACCGCCGCAGCAGCAGCAGCAACAGCTAAAGCAGAGGAGTGTGCGTGCATGTGAACTTGTGTTGGCAACTTCGTTGCGTGTGTAACAGGCGCACAGATTTTCCGAGAGAGCCGCAAAGAACATTTTCGCATGCGAAGTGTTCCCATTTGTTCGGTGCTGTGTGTGCGTTGTTGTTGTTGCTGTTCTTGCTGTTGCTGCTGCTGATGTTCGGCTTGCGGAATTTTTATAGGTTAAGCTGTAAGCACTGGAGGGAGGGAGGGGGCGTGGCAGGGAGAGGCTGTGGCCAGCGAAGAGGGTTGTTGGTGGTGGCCTTAACTAGTTTCAGCCGGCCGGTGTCGTTGTCTTCTGAACGAGCAACGAAAAAAGCAGGAGGAAAAGCGGCGAGACAGAGAGAGGGTTTTTGGCTTTTCCACTCACTCGATTTGTGAGTGAATCCCGAACCCAAAACCCCCCTCGGGTTTTCCCACCCTCCCCCTAAAAATTCCTTTGCGCATTCTTTCCGACGTCGACGTCGCTGCCTGTTTCCGGTGTCACTTCCTTATTTAGTTGTTCGCGTTGTTTGTTTGTTGTTCGCTGGCTTTCGGCTAGGATTTCGTCGCCGGGCGTCCTTGTGGGCTCAACCCAATTTAACAGCCATCAAAACTGGCAGCGAATTCAATTTGCCTGAAAGCCAGCCCATCCAAACTAAAAAAGAAAAAAAGACGAACACACAGAAACGACGATCATTAGCCGGATTATTATTAGTCTATTAGTGGTAATCAAATTTATGGCACAAATACAAATTGAGGGAAAACTTTCATGACGCCAAAATGGAAATTGAAAACACAAGCGATGCGGTGGCAGTGGTCGCGGCGGGGGGATGTGGCAAGGGGGCAAGACAGGTTGTCGCGGCATACATAAATGCAAACACTTTGTGCAAATATTTGTGTCATTAAACAAATGACAAACGAATTGGTTTCAACATGAAAGCCGACAGAGAGAGCGAGAGAGAAAGAGAGAGACAGAGAGAGAGAGCAGCTGACATGCAACATGCTAACAGCAACAGCAGCAGCTTATCAGGCGACTGTTAAGGCTAACAGCAACTTCCCCGCAGCAACACCCCCGCAGCAACACTCACACCACCACCCACCCACTCGCACACAGATACTCACTCATCGCAGCGCTGCAACAATGCAAAAAGCAAACTTTCTCGCTGCCGGCGTCGCTGTAGCTGTCGTGTTGCTGCTGTTGTTGCTGCTGTTGTTGCTGCTGCTGCGGCTGGCGTCGCTCGTCGGCGGTCGAAGTCGGTTCGTTTGGTTTCGCTGACAGCGGCTCGTGCCAGTACTCAACCGACTGCCAAACGGCGCACGACAAACCAGCAGCAGCAGCTGAGCCAGCAGCAGCAGCAGCAACACCAGCAACAGCAACACAAGCAGCAGCAGCAGCAGCAGCAGCAGTAATAGCCGCACGGCAGCAACACTAGCCAAAGAAAAGCTGTGCGTTACTTTTTTCTGCGGTTCGTTCACTCGGCGATAAAAACACAACAGCAACAGCAACAACAACAGCAACAACACCAACGACAACAGCAATATAACAAAAGAAAACATATTAAAAAGAAATACTAAACAAAAATGCACTTAAACTTAAAGTGTTCAAGTGATAAAAATGTTAGTGTGTAAAAAGTGAAAACCAAAAAGTAACCAATTAGTCTTCAACAAACAGAAATTACGCAAATATTCTTATCAAAATCGGTGATTTAGCGAAAACATGCAAACATTTCATACAAACAAATAAATCTAACAACATTGTTATCAATGCAAACTCAGTTAATCAAGCAAAACAATTTGATTCTTTAATCTGATCTGATGCGATCGAAAAACCCTTATTTCTGTGTCATGTCATTCGGCTCAAGCTTTTTTTTCATGGAAATATTGTGGCGAAGCGTTTGCTTTATTATAATGTTATTTCAAGCAAATCTCTTACTCATCCCATCATCCCCCGTCATCTGCCCTGTTTATTTATTTGACATTTTATTCGTTTTTGTCCTATCTGGCTCTTCGGCGAGAAATTGTGCATGGCAAATGCAAATTTATTAGGTGCAGAAGACTTCGTAAGACTCACGTAAGACGTAAAATGGCAGAAATTAAAAATCATAAATCAAATGTGCTAAATAAATCAGGAGGAAAATTGAGCAAAAAGTGTGCGTCTGTCTGCCTTTTCCCACTCTTTTGGCTCGATTGAAGCCATTAATTACATTGCAGTAAATCCGTTCGGGAATCTTTGCGTTCTACAAAATTGTTCGGTTTTTCATAAATTTTTAAGTTTTATGTTTAGTGGCCTGCTAAAATATCAAAGTGAACTTTTTCGCCAAAGCCTACGTTAAATTCTGTTTCTGTTTGATTTCTCCGCGTGACTGCGAGTGTGTGTGTGTGTGAGTTCTCGTGTGTTTCAGTGTGTGTTACGCATTTTGCTTAGACAAGTGGCCAAGAAGTGGAGGAAAAGGAGGAACAGATCTGAGCGAGCAATTGGTCGTTTGTTATGCCCTCACCAAAAAGTGGGGCATGCTCACAATGCCATGAAGTAGAGCACGTTTGGAATTGTGTATCTGCACTTACGTATTCATTTCGTTCAGATGTGCATATACTAATGGCCATTTGTGCATTAGTGTGTGTGCCTGCAGTGTGGAAACAATTGGGCTGATTAACGGTTTTGAATTATGCAAATTTCGATAGTGATCAGCGGGGGATTTAGTTATAAATCCGCTGTTACATTTAGATAATTGCTCTGTTTTTCCACGATTTTCTTTGACGGCTTTTTTAACTGCAGTAAAGTGGCGGGGATCCAGAAAAATGAAAGGTTATAAAATATTATAATATACAGTTTATCAGAAGATCATAATGTTGTTTTTTACAGTTTTTTAAAACCATTTTCGAACTTTAGTTTGTTTTCAATTAAAATTGAAATAAAACAATACTTTAGTAAAGAATTTCTAACAGCAGTTCACATTCAGGCAACCTTTCTTTTATTATCAGGAAATCATATGTTCTGGCTAATATTATTCTAGAGTGTTTCAGAGCTGCCCATATTGTTGAACTGCTCCAACGCTTTTGTCTTTTCGTGTATAATTGAATAGTGAGAGACAAACAGCGTCTTGGAATTCTCGGGCGAAACAACAGCAATAGTAATAGCAACAATTGCCGCAGAGCGAGCAACAAGCAAAACTGAAACCAAACCGAGAAATCTGGCTTAGCCTTTTGGCGTTGCGGAAATTGATGCTGCCACTGCCACTGCCTCTGCAGGCGTCGCTGCCTGCGACTACATTAATCTTACTTTTATTGCTTTTACTGTTGCTACTGCTGTTTAATTAATTTTTGGTAAACATAATTTCCCATTGGGCCTCATCCGCCAGCTCAGTTAAATGAGTTGAATAATGATTTATAATTCACTTCATATTTTCGCTGATTTTTTTTCATTTCGCTGCTGCCACCAACTTTGTAATAAAGTGCAAAAAATTAATAGTATGGAAAATGTAATGCGAGTAAGCAAAGAGGGGGTTTCTCTGGGTTGAAAGGCATGTGGAAGGGGCTGCGAAAATAGTGGAACGCTAAACAAGGCCAAAACATTACGCATACGCCGCATGTGCCAGGCGAATATGGGGTAAGAAACGGTTAAAATAGCCAGGAATTAATTGGGGGAGGCGCTCGTCGGGAGGTGGTCGATGCAAAGGGCGAGGGGGAGGGGTGGGGCTTTTCTGTTATGGCTGACACTTGAGCGAACGTTTTAAGTTACACTTTTAATTAATTGTTGTGAATAAATGATGGGACACTGCCAAAGGAGAAAATGCGCCAAAAGAGTGAGACTGAAAAAAGAGGTTGACAAAGAGCTAGGGGAATACATTTCATTTAAATACAAATTAAATTGAACCAGTTGTTTAAATTTATCCTTTTTATATAGTTTTTTTTTTATTATAAAAACTTTGTTAGTTGATCTCCTGATCATGAATTGTGATGACTATGTTTTAACTCACTCAAAATATTATCATTCAAATTCCAGTAAATGCCTGGAACTATTAATCACTTTCCGTGAAATAAATATTAAATACTTAAGCCAGGCGTGCAGTAGCCTTAATCTTGTTGATTACACCTCATATACGCGTTGGCCTTCTCGGCCGCCATTTTCATGGGAATCCATGGCGACTCCTCCTCTATCATCTGCCAGTTCCTGTCTCTCAGCACCCATATACCATTTACCACACAAAGTAGCAAGTAGCAACTAGCTACTGGCAACTGGCAACTGGCAACCCAACCAACTAATCAAACAACACGAGCGCAAACCGAAGGCTTTCCACGAAACATTTGATGTGTTTTTCTGTTGCTTTTTGTTTGGGGACGAGACGATTTCCGTTTTGGGGCTAGCTGCTATATAGCTATATTTTGGTTTTGTGTTTTTTGTTCGTTTTCCTGGTGCTGAGTGGCCGAGAGTGTCGGTTTGGATTCGCCGCTAATTCGCATTAATCATACGACGCGTTGGACGCGCTCTCTTTTGTTTATGCATTGGAATCATGAAAACGAAATTCATGCAAACCGAACGTCGCCAACGTGGAAAGAAGCTTTTCCACATTTTTATTTTTACACGCAAAATTTTTACTAGCTGCGCGGTGGAGCCGGTGGAAGCGAGAGGGGAATACGCGGGGCAGAGAGAGATGGGTGACGTCTTCTTACTCACGCTTTTGTTGTTGTTTATTTTTAATGTGTCAAGGTTCGCGGCATAATTTCTGCTGCTTTATTTCATTTGCGCGTAGAGCAAACAGAAAATGTATCAAAGAGTGGGGCAGACTGATAGAGAGTGAAGATACAGTCAGCGAGTCATGAGCTTTGAAATGTTTGACTTTCTTTTCGGGCAATCTAAAAAATAAAACATAAAATATAAACTAACTAGGGCTTTGAAAAGAAATTTAAGAATACCTTTATAAAAGTCCTTAAAGCTTGGACTTTCTCTTTCTGAAATTGAAAACTTTGTGATCTTTGAAATGGTCCTGGACACAAAACCTTTATCTCTGGCTCTAATTCCGGTTTAACTTTTAACAATGCGAGCGCTACTTCTTTGAGTCGAAGCTTCGATTTTCAGTACACCGTAGACCCCAGGCACTTACCCCACGACAAAGTTATTAAGCTCCACCACCGACAAGCTCAAGACATAAAAGCCAAGCCAAAACGAGGCAAAGGCGAAGATGAGGATGTCGACGTTGGAGGCGACGCATCGATAAATGTAAATGCAGTAAATGTAGTGGGGAATTAGGGGCGGGTAAAGAAGGTTGAAGGGTTGGGGGAGGTGGTTAAAGGGTACGACTATACCATAGTTATAGGTGGAAAAGATGGGCAGTGAGTGAGTGAGTGTGGTGGTGGGGGCGGCAGTACGGAGCGGGCAAAACATTTTTATTACCGCTGTGGAGTCGTAAAAAACTAAATTACTTTTAAGTTTGTAAATTGTGTGAGCTACCGCTCTCTTTCTGCCCGCGTGTATCTTTCTCTTTCTGCAATAGGTTACATATTACACGGGCACCCTTTCCACTTTCCCCCTTCGGTTTTCCCACCGCATTTGGTCAACGCAAGTTTGCATTCTTTGTGTCACGTTTCCATCGGAAGATACGAAAAGCACAGATACATTTACAGATACAGCCAGCGAAAGGGACAGCCGATGTGCAGATAGGGGGCAGTGAAAGAGACGGCATGATCGATGTTGGCAGCAGAAGAAGAAGCGCCGGCAGAGGCGCAGGGAAAAACAAATTTATGAAACGTCATTTATTCATAATGAGCTAAGCGAATGGGGAAAAGTGTTGGCGCGTGTATCGAAACGAACGGTAGTACACACAGAAAATGGAGAAAAGAGGAGCGGAGAGGAGAGGAGCGGGGGAAATGGAAGAGATGGGAGGGAGAAATGGTGGAGTGGAGATGGCCGAAACGGGCCAATTGTGTGCATCGCATTTCGAGTGTTGTAAAGTGCCATAAACTTATTAGGCGAAAGTGTTTCGTGAGTGTGGGCTTGTGCATGAATGTGAATGCGTAATGAATGCTATTCACTCAGTTATTCATTTTGGGGATCGTTTTGCCGGCGAATGTAATTGTTTAACCAGCGATTGAGTGGCTATCGATGACCTGAGGGTGGGAACTTTGCTGGTCAAGAGGATATTCCTTGGGGTTTTGTCGTTAAGTGAGTGGTTGTGGTTTTCTCCTCGCTCAAAGGATTTATTTATAGGGAGAACAGCTCAAACCGCAAAAGGCCAGTTAGTCGGAATTTATGTTTAATTAGTAGTAATTTCTAAACTTGAAATTCTTTGGTTTACTTCAATCCACATTTATTTTTGCTTCCAAACCAGCTTAAAGTGAATAGATTAAAAAGGAGTGTGAATGGAAATTCCTGATTTTGTGGTTCACAATGATGTATTCCTAGTTCCAGACTACTTTTAACGAATCTTGACTGCATTAAGGTAGATGCACAGAACATTTTATAAGTGTGTTGCATTATTCTGCACCCCAGAAACGAGTCACTTGCGGTTATCCAAAGTATTTCGCAACTTTCCGCACACTTGCAACTGAGTCTTCGCTTCTTCTTCTGCTTTACGGTGAAGTATTGTATCGTGTGCACTGAGTACTCACACAGATACTCACGCACACCTCGCGACCCCACTCACATGTCATTGTGTTGGTTGCTGCGCCTATTCGCGGCTATTTTGTATACATTTTGCATTAATTAAAAACAAAATAAACAGCAAAAGTCGCGCGCGCTTGGCCTGTACGGGGGCATGAAAATAAAAACTGAAAAGCAAACACATTCTGATTTAAATGTGATTGTTTTTCTCGCTTTTTCGCCTTCGTCTTCCTTTTTTTCCTCTGCTGTTATTCACTTACAAGCGAGCCAAGTGGGAATGATTCGAGTGGAGTTTTTCGACCATGCGATACTGGGGGATAAATTGTGGTTTATCAGAGTTGAGTAAGCATTAATTGGTGAAGTTCTGAAAGTAGAAGTTACCTTACATTAGAAAATACACATAATTTAAATCATAAGTTTTCTTAAATCAAATTGAGGCAGTTTTTTTTTTCTTAAGAGCCAGATCTTTATTTCCATACAGATTTTCCTTTTATTCATTTTTTTTCTTTATTATTTTGCATCATATTTCATCCCGAAAAGAAATACCCTTCGATTATACGATCAAGGGGTATTAAAAGCGCTGAAGTAAAGCAGAACAGAAACAAAATCAAAGGCAGCGCCGACGCCAACACAACGCACACATCTGCACAATCGCTCACACAGATACGCTGATGTTCTGGTTCTCACTCCTCGGTCGCAGTCGCTGCCTCAGTCGACGTCGGCGCCGGCGTTTCTGCCACTGATTAGAAGTGTCTTGCCTTTTATGTTATTGTTTCTGCTTCTTGCTACCTCTCTGTGTTTTTTACGATTTTTGTATACTTTTTTGTGACATTTTTTTGTGTGTGATTTTTGCCATTTTGCCTTTGCGCACTTGCGATTTTCATGAAATTTCGCTACGGCTTTTCAATAATTTGTGCACGTCTTGCAAGTGAATTTCTTTCGATTACTCTTGCCAAGTCAGCGATGTTGTTGCCATTGTTGTTGAGTGTTAATCGAATCGAGCGGCTCTTCAATGGTGTACATGTGTTTCAATAATTTATGTGTAATTTCTCACTGTGTGCGTCGCAGCTGAACAAATCAAATTACAATCAAAAGAAAAGAACAAAAGATCGACGGAGAAAAACTGTGAAGAAAATCAAAAAGCCAAATGCGCCCGCGAAGCAAACGCAACAAAATGCAAAACTTTCGACGCTGCTCAGCACTGTCGACGTTATTACACAACACTGGCCGGAAAAGTTTTCCCCATCGAGTGGCAGCCTAAAATCTCCCCACAACTTTCCGACTCGAATTTCCCAACGCGCGCCTCGAATTCGAGCCCCAGCTACTTGAACTTCTGTGTATATATATATATCGAAGTGTTTTCCAAACTCGGCTCTTGACTCTTAATGTCTGAACTACTGAAAAACTAAAAACTCAACTTCGCCCAAGCCAGCATAAGCTATAAACGAACTATCTATGAATATTTGGGTAAGACTTCGGAACTGATGTTGACTTTATATAATGTATGTTTATAAATATGATAGGAAGTTAAACTAACTAAATATTTTTAATGCAAATATATAATTTCTTTTTATTTGAATACTTTTTATATTACTATATGATACATTAATTTTTAAATTGCTTCTCAACACTATTCTACACCTTCCCACTAACTTGTACTTTTGCGATCCTCTCTTTCCGTTTAGCAACAAAAATTCCTTAAACGACCTGCGGAGGATGTTGACAATGGCGCTGACAACAATGAACCGCCGCACAAGTTGCCCAACAACAATAACAACAGCAATAGCTACAACAACAACGGCAATTCGAATGCGAACAACGGCGGCAACAGCAACAACAACAATGGCTCCAATACCGGCAATGGCAATGGCAACAACCCGAACCACAACAACAACAGCAGCAACAACAATGGCAACGGCCCCAACAACAACAACAACAATAACAACAATGGCGGCAACAGCAACAACAACGGCTCAGAGAATCTAACAAAGTTCTCGGTGGAAATCGTACAGCAACTGGAGTTCACCACATCGGCGGCCAATTCGCAGCCGCAGCAGATCAGCACGAATGTCACTGTGAAGGCGCTGACCAACACATCGGTGAAGAGCGAACCAGGTGTGGGCGGCGGCGGCGGCGGTGGCGGAGGGGGCGGCGGTGGCGGCGGCAGCGGCAGTGGCAACAACAACGGCGGTCCTGGCAACAACGGTAACGGCAACGGCAACAACAACCCAGGCGATCATCAGCAGCAGCAGCAGCAACAAGGCGGCGGACTGGGAGGCCTCGGCAATAATGGAAGGGGCGGGGGACCCGGCGGCATGGCCACGGGTCCCGGGGGCGTGGCCGGTGGGCTTGGCGGCATGGGTATGCCACCCAACATGATGTCCGCCCAGCAGAAGTCGGCCCTGGGCAACCTAGCCAACTTGGTGGAGTGCAAACGGGAACCGGATCACGATTTCCCCGATCTCGGATCGCTCGACAAGGATGTGGGTGGTGGGGGCAGTTCCCCAACTTTCCCGATCTGCTGGGCGACGACAACTCGGAGAACAACGACACCTTCAAGGATCTCATCAGCAACCTGCAGGACTTCAATCCGAGCTTCCTCGACGGCTTCGATGAGAAACCGCTGCTGGACATCAAAACGGAGGACGGCATCAAGGTGGAGCCCCCGAATGCCCAGGATCTGATCAACAGCCTGAATGTGAAGTCCGAGGGTGGACTGGGCCATGGCTTCGGTGGCTTCGGCCTGGGTCTGGACAACCCGGGCATGAAGATGCGTGGTGGCAACCCTGGCGGCAACCCAGGTGGCTTCCCCAACGGTCCGAATGGCGGCGGCGCTGCTCCCAACTCGGGTGGCAATGGTGGCAACTCTGGTAATCTCATGTCCGAACATCCGCTGGCCGCCCAGACACTCAAGCAAATGGCCGAGCAGCACCAGCACAAGAACGCCATGGGCGGCATGGGCGGATTCCCCCGCCCCCCGCACGGCATGAACCCGCAGCAGCAGCAGCAGCAACAGCAGCAGCAGGCGCAGCAGCAACACGGCCAGATGATGGGACAGGGACAACCGGGTCGGTACAACGACTACGGAGGTGGCTTCCCCAACGACTTTGGCCTGGGTCCCAACGGGCCGCAGCAGCAGCAGCAGCAGGCGCAGCAGCAACAGCAGCAGCAGCCGCAGCAGCAACACCTGCCGCCGCAGTTCCACCAGAAGGGTCCTGGCCCGGGGGCCGGCATGAATGTGCAGCAGAACTTCCTGGACATCAAGCAGGAGCTCTTCTACTCATCTCAAAACGATTTCGATCTCAAGCGCCTGCAGCAGCAGCAGGCCATGCAACAGCAACAGGCGCAGCAGCAGCAACAGCAACACCACCAGCAGCAACAGCAGCAGCAGCAGCCCAAAATGGGAGGCGTGCCGAACTTCAGCAAGCAGCAGCAGCAGCAACAGGTGCCGCAGCAACAGCAGCAGCAGCTGCAGCAGCAGCAGCAGTACTCGCCGTTCAGCAACCAGAACGCGAATGCGGCGGCCAACTTCCTGAACTGCCCGCCGAGGGGAGGGCCGAATGGCAACCCGCAGCAGCAGCAGCAGCCGGGCAATCTGGCGCAGCAGCAGCAGCCTGGCGGTGGACCGCAGCAGCAGCAGCAGCGCGGAAATGCCGGCAACGGGCAGCAGAATAATCCGAATGCCGGGCCCGGCGGCAATGCCTCCAATGCACCGCAGCAGCAGCAGTCGACGACCACAACGCTGCAGATGAAGCAGACGCAGCAGTTGCACATTAGCCAACAGGGCGGCGGAGCCCATGGCATTCAGGTTAGCTTCATTTTATTATATATATACATAGTATCCCTTTGCCACTCAGTTAAAAAACCCAATAAACCCGAAACGAACGAAGCACAAAAAAGTGAGAGCCCTAAAAACAGGCGATGAAGCTCATCCAATAACATAACGCTACTTAATGCCATTGACACGTATGTGAATTTCCATGCATATTTAAGTTATCAGCGTAACGAAGTCAACAGCTTTTCACGAAAATCCCGACAGCAGAAAAGCAGAAAAGCTCCCACGGGGTGGATTTTTCCACATCGAGTGAAACTCGCCGCTCGCCGTTTTCCACTCGAGCATTTCACTCAGCCTGAAAACGGCTTGTTTTCCTTATATTTATCTTCTTTGTTTTTTTTTTTTTTTTGTGTTGGTTTTGTTACTTTGTTGTTGGGAAAGGATCATAAATCATGTTGGGGCAAACAAGCCGAGCAAACGAACCTTTGCCCGCTTTTCCCGCACTCATTCTCTCTCGCTCTCAGCTATTTTTATACCCTTGCAGAGCAAAGGGTATTATAATTTTGGCCAGAAGTTTGCAACGGAGTGAAGGAGACACCTTAGACCCCATAAAGTATATATATTCTTGATCAGCATCACCATCTGAATCGAAATACGTCTGTACGTCTGTCCGTCTGTCCGTCTGTCCGTCTGTCCGTCTGTCTGTCTGTCCGTCTGTCCGTCTGTCCTCCTGTCCGTTTCTGCCCAAACTAGTCTCTCATTTTTAAAGCTATCTTGCTGAAACTTTCCCAAAAGGTGTGTAGTTATTGCACGCAGTATATAAGTCGGAACGGGCCGGATCGGCCGACTATATCGGATAGCTCCCATACAAGAGATTGAAATACAAAATTCTAACGCCGTTGTGTTTGATCAGATCGACTTGATTTCTTCCACATGGCGTTTTCTAGTTACTATTGAATTTCGGGTTAAATTTTATCGAAATCGGATAACTCTATCATATAGCTGCCATAGGAGAGATCAAAAAATATATATAGAATTAATGGAAATAAATTGATAAGGTGATTGTTTTTCATCACACGACTATGATTTTTTGAGTATCAAGTTTTTTAACTAGCCTTGGTTCATAAAAAAATGTTCATAAAAATCCAACAACTATATCATATAGCTGCCATAGGAAAGATCGAAAAATCTATATAGAATTAACGGAAATAAAATGATAACACCGTTATTTCTCATCAGAAAATCATGATTTTTGGAATATAGAGTTTTCTAACGACTCTTGAATAACAAATAAAATTTCATCAAAATCGGACAACTATATCATATAGCTGTCATATGAACAATAGTCAAAAATATGAAAAATTAATAGAAAAGTCGTCGTTGCTTCGATGTTGTTTAGCCTTTGTGTATTCTGTTCGAAATATTTGATGACTGCAAGGGTATATAAGCTTCGGCTTGCCGAAGCTAGCTTCCTTTCTTGTTCTCTCTCTCTTCTGCTCTCGCTCGTTCTCTGGTTTCGCGTTTAACCCTCGATTTTCCATTTCCACTCGCCAGCCGAGTTTATCTCTGTCCATTAATTTTACCACACATCTGTTCATAAAATTGCTCGGCGACCTGGCGCTCGGCTTCAGTGAGTCCTCGGCAGCGAGCGAGAGTCCTGGCGCTCTGTCTCTGCCTCGGTGTCCTTCTCTCGTCCCCGTTTTCCACCCGCCCCTTCGAATGTCCCGAGTTCCAAGTGCGCCATTTTCATTACGTGAGCGTCAACCGAACATTGCTGGGGCGAAACAGGAAAAGAAAAGACTGAGCCAGGATTGCTACGATTGCTTCTACTCTTGATTGTAGCTTGGAGTTTTTCTGGGTTGGAAACTTCATTTTTGAGGAGTAAAAAGAAGCTAGGGAAAAACCAAGAAAGAAACGAAATAAACTAAGCTTTGGGTAGGAAAAGCAATCAAGGGGTGCAAAAGAAACGTGAGAAGCCTTAGAAGATCGAGTTGGAAAAAGTATTTTCAATTTTAGGAAAAACATTTAAGCTGCACTATGTTAATGCCTTTAGATTTATGATATAAAATATTTGTAAAAGTTTAAGTTACTTCTTGTTCTTGTTGATATGAGTATGCTTAAAACATTTGTAAGTGATTTAAAGCTCCTAGTTTCAGTTTCTCACTTCCGTTTATAATTAAAAACCACTTTGCTTCACAGTTAGAAAGGGAAGAGGTCACAGGGAATGCATTACACGTTAGTTACCAAACACGCCCACACCAATTCAAACTTGCTTCCCTGCCAAGTTGAGGATAGCACCCTCTTGTATCTTTTTGATCCGTATTTATGATGAATTTTCGGCATCAACCCCAAGTGCATGAGCCCATGAACATTTACTGGGCTCCGTCATCACTCATCCATATAGTAATGCATTCATCACTTCATTGCCCCGCCCCCTGCCCCCCGCTCCCCGCCCCCTTTGCCTTTGAGGGACTATTTTTGCGGAAAAGCGAGGGAATCGCTCTCACAAAAGCAATATTCCCTGGCCACATGCATCCTCGCACACTCGCAAACACACACACTCACACATATACATATACTCGTATGCACTAAACCTAACCCATATTCATTATCCGCTCCAAATTGTTTTCCTGTTATTTCGCAACAACAACAACAACAAAAGCAACACCAAAAACAACAAAAACAAAAGCAACACCAACAAGAAGAGCACCAACATTTCATTTACAAAATGAAAGTGCAAAACTTTTTAAGTTAAGTTTCATGTCGCTGAGTAGTTTTCATCAGAGAACAGCCAAAAAGCATAAAAGAGAGAAACGGGAAACGAGAAAAGGGAGATGCAAGAGGAAGTGGAAGTGGGAATGGAAATGGAGAGGGGGATAGAAAGATAGAGGGAGAGAGCCAAGTTGGTTTTTGGCCTGGTCGAAAAAGGGACACGGCAACGGCATTTCGTCCGATTTTTGGTCAGCTACACAGGGAAAAACTGCGAAATCTATAATTTCGATCAAAAAAAACTACTTAGTAATTACAGGAAAACCAGTTCAAAATAATAATCAGCATTTGAAATTAGGAAAGATATATAAATATATTAATTTCAAATTGATTTTATATCCTTTGCAATTGATTTTTCCTGTGTAGGGTTTCCTGGGCGCATTTAGCTCAAGTTTTGCCATGAATTTCGTTCATGCATTAACCCTCGGCTGGCTGAGACTTTTCCCTCTTAGCCACCCTAACCCTAACCCCTAGCTGCATAGGAAAATAGTTGAAGCAAGTTGAGAGCCGTGCAAAAAAAAGGGGGAAGAGATTTGGGGGAAGGGGGAAAGGCAGTTTGAGGAGGCGAAACTTGTTGACGATTGAGATTGAAATTTTTGGGGGTTTATTATAATTTTTTATTCCGACTAACCACTGGCCACTCAGCCTTGTTTTTCCTCGCCCTCGAGGCGTCGAGTTTTCCGCCCCCACTGCGATTTCTCCCCAGTGGAGGAGGAAGCTGAAGGCTGGTGGCTGGTGGCTGGCCATAATCAAAGGCTGTCCCGGCGAATCCTTTGGCTCGCTTATCGGGCCAAGACACAACACGTATACACACTTAAGTCTAACGATATATTTGCATAGGACTCATTAAAAATGCCCCAAAGAGGAGGCGGCATTCGGCTGCGAGGGTTGCAAAAAGCCAAAACAGCATCGGACTCAACGAGTTTTCCCAGCTCAATAGTATTTTTCATGGGGGAGCCAACTGTGGGGAAGCCTCTTAAGTGCAAGAAATGAGCGGGCCAAGTGTAAAATGTACAATGGATATGACAAAGAATGGCGGCGCACGAAGCAAATGGTGGAATATGCACAATAAATTAAGCAGGGAGCACACAAAATAGGGAGAATAATATGAATTTGAAGTGGAAAAGCGGAGTGAAGGAGCGGCGGGTTAAAGAAAATTGTACATTTCACTAATGAGGTTTTTAACCAAGAGGAAGGAAAGGACATTCTGAAGGGCTTTTCATTTGGCTCAAAAATATGTAGATTAGTTGGTAACTCAACTCAACTGAATTGCATAGCACCTTCTTGAAAAACCTTCTCAGTTTCAATGATGTTGTGCAGAAAAGAAGACTTCAAATGAGTTGTAACTCCATATCCCAAAAACCCTTCATCGAATACGAAAGTCTACCCTTTCAGTCGGAACAAAAGTTCGACAGCGCCGAAAGAATTCGAATAAAGTTTACCAGATACTTATTGAACAGAATGAAAGCTACACGAATAACCAAAGCAACCGACGGGCCACAAAAACCAGGCAACAGCCAGACCAAAAACAACCGTATCGCCGGCTAAAAGTTCAATGAATTCAAAATGTTGGCCATTTTGCATGTCCTGCATTAACTCGTTAAAATGCCAGCAACAACAGCGTGCAGTTATAGTTCTAGCCACCAGCCAACGAATTTGTATAAAATACAAAAACAAGAAAAAAGAAAGGAGAAATGAGAGAGGAGAAAGAGTGGAGAAAGTGGAGAAAGAGGGACGCAGGCTTCGGTTGGTCGATCCGCAGGCGAAAGCGTCATCAAAATGCCAGGGCGCACAAAAGTATGCAGCGGAAATGTGCAAAACGTGAAAATGTGCGGAAATTATACTTGCCAGGCGGCCGCAGAAAGAGACAGACAGATACACGGACGGGGGCAACGAAAGAGACAGCTAGATGGGCGAAATGAGGAGAGGGCCATATCAGATTTTACGACTTGGCCCGGGCGACTTAATGAAGTAAGCGGGAAATGCGAGCGAGCACATGCGACCAAACCCTCGCAACTTCGAACTTGAAGTCGCCTTGTATCAAAAAGCAATAAATAATTTATAACCTCGTGCAAGTGGAGATCTAGGCAGCATCCAAAGTACTTATAATGAAATGGAAAAGGCGGAAAAAGCGGAAAACGGCGGAAAAGCGCTGGCCGAACAATGCGCAGGCGCCAAGGCAATAAAAACAAATCCCCGAAATTCAGTTGGGCCCGCAGATTCCCGACAACTCTACACATAACTTCGGCTGGCAGGGATTATGG